TGAGGGTTCAATCAGCGCAGGGTGCAAAATCATCAGGCAATAATATATATATATATATAAACATATTTTTCCATGTTGTTAGCAGTTGAGCCATCATCCCCTGAACAAATATGTACTGTAGTCAGTCAGTTGGGACCATCATCACAACTAGGCCAACAAAAAATGGAACCATTAACCGGCCGTCCGTTTCCTGCCCTGGGTTGCTTGCAGGTGTGCTGCAGTTGATGAAAGACATCTGGTTGGGATGTGAACGTTGGCTGTGAACTGCCCTTGTTGATCAGGTTTGACATGCTGACATGCTGCTTTTTGGCCCCTTATTGCCACTGCTGGCTGAAACGTGTCCCAGGGTCATCTCAGCCAGCCCAGCTTGCCAGCGGCTGTCCTCCCCCAAGGGCTGAAGTCCTTCGCTTGCCAAGGCCTGAAATGGGGCGGCCGGTTTCTGTTCAATGTGTCCTAAGAGCAACGGGTTCAAAATCCAGAGGCGCACCTGCCCGGGCTCAAAAACAATAACAGACGAACGGGTTCAAACAATGTGGTTTCTTTACATGGCTGTGGCGTAGTGATGTAATGTAAGTTGCCGTGTCCCACCCTAGGGGCCACGAAGTGTATATAGGCCAGTTACACGGGCCACCGGCACCCAATTCCAGTGAGATCCAGGCAGTGCCGTTGCAGGCTGGTGCGGATCTACTTGTCGGTGTTCATACCGGAAAAAAAAACGGCTTACCGTATCCAGTACCCAAGGCTAGAAACCCTTTGTTTGCCATGCCGGCCGTTTCAATACATGTTCATGTCTTCATTGCATCTATGAAATGACTCCGCAAGCTATGCCAGAGATTGGGCGTCTTCCCACGCGTTCCTGTCCCATCCGATGACAGTGTGCAAAAAGGATAGCCCATTCCATGGGAAAATTGATGGAACTGATCACTTGCGAAGTAGGGAACCCTTCAAGTGCCTTCCAACCCTGAGCTTCAATGAGCACACCCCCTCAGCACTGGTGAGCATAATTGTCAAATATGATATATATATATATAAATACATGATATATATATATATCATTATTATTATTTCTGTTATCATGACTATTATTGTTTATTATTATTGCTATTATTATTATTTATGATGATTATTATTATTGCTATTATTATTGTTGTTGTTGTTGTCGTTGTCGTCGTCGTCGTCGTCGTCGTTGTTGTTGTTATTTATTGTTATTATCTCTATTATTATCATGAAAATAAATATTATTATATTAGTATATTATACAAATTAAAACAATATATAATACATATTTGGGATTCTTTCGGCTTGATCATTGCGTTTGTGCTTTGATGCGAATTCCAGGACCACCTGGAGGTGAATTGCAGTTCATCCTTTATTTTCAAGATCCTGGTGGAAGCCTCTGAATAAGCGGGTCTCACCAGCATCCTATGAACGATCTATCTACCCTGCTACTTGCTTCTGATCCCATTTTAGCTGCTTCAAGTCCCATTTTCCCATATTTTCCCATTGCTTCAAGGTTCACAAAAAAGCCGATGAAACGTGTTCGACTATGTTCGACTTCAGCTGCTCCAGGCGGAGCCAACCCACAGCGGCTATGGTGAAATCACAACACCCCAGAGGCCATTTGGTGATGAGCTCCCTTAGTTTTAACCATGATTCCAATGACGGAGAACAGTGAGGTCGTTAACATTTACCTTGATATATTTGAATATATAAATAAATATATATATATATGTGTGTATATATAATTGTAAATATATTTGTATGTATATATATATATATATGTATATATATATATGTATGTATATATGTATATATTTATAATGTGGTATTCGCCAATGCCATCAACCATCCCTCAGTCATCACCATTTCTGGTGCCTGAGGCCCTGGGGTTTTGATGTTCCTGACCCTGACTACTGCCAGGTCGGCTCTCGACACACACGGCCTGCCGTGGAACCCTATGGATCATCCCTAAGTCCAATAACTAGGGTTGATTAGGGGGTTATATCTATAGTTAATGGGGATTATAAACCAACTTATAACTGGGGGGGCACCACCTTGTACTTGTTTTTTTTGCCATATGTTTCACTGTGTTCTCTATTTTTTGGTTGTTCAAATGAGGGAAACAGAACAGATTCTGGTGTATTGTTGCGGATCTTTGGAGGCATGTTCTATCAGAACGGTACCGAAATGATCTCTGTCAGCACGAGGGTATCAACATGTATCAACCCACAAGGGCCACCCGAAACTGCTGAATAGAGTGTGTATTGTGGAATCTTTCCCATCAAGAACGTCTCTCATTGAACACCTTGGCGCATGGCAGCAAGTTGATTGTTTGGGAATGGGTGAAACGAAGAAGAACTCAGCTTCTTGCAGCCTTGGTGCATTTGGCCTTAAAGTAGTCATGTCATGTCATGTCTATGTCATGTCTTTATATAACTCATTCCATTTCTTCGGATATTAAAAATCAATATGCCCATGTGGAAAACTTACTATAACCGCAGAGAAAACTATCCCAGGTCCCATATGTATGTATATATATATATATTATACATACACTATCCCAGCTTTTAGGGCTACAGGTGCCCAACATATGTTGACCCTTGACCCATGTCTTTTCTCGAACCTCCAGAGCAGCCTCGAAATTTGCCTGGCTCCTGAACTGTGGAACGGCAGGGTCCGGATTCTGGAAGATAACCAAAGCAGTTAACTAGCAAACATGGTGGTTTCACAGGGAGGGAGACAGAGAGAGAGAGAGAGAGAGGGAGAGAGAGAGAGAGAGACAGAGAGAGACAGAGAGAGACAGAGAGAGACAGAGAGAGAGAGAGAGATATATATATATATATAAGGACTTGATGATCGCTTCAATGTTTCCACAGTTTGTTAGCTAAGTGATTTACTTCAGTAGCTTGACGATTGGATTCCAAAGTAACCTTCAAAGTACCAATAGACCACAGATCAAAGTAATTATGTTACCATTTGTCTACGGCATATACATCTGTTGATGGGTAAATTGAGCGTTTTGGTATGGGAAGACAAACCGTGGGTGTAAAGGCTATTTGAAGAGGGCCGTTGTTTTTTTCTCAACAGTTTTGGTGTTTGCGATTTTTATTTGAGACGTATGCCGTATGCCCACTTGGAAAAAATATGCCAGAACGAAGGTCTGTGGAAAAAACACCGCGGTCTTCGGGACGTTTTGTTTTTGTCAACAGCCTTTTCTTTCGCATCTGTGTGCAGCAACTCGCGTTTTTTTTGCAGAAATTAAATCACCTACTTGCAAAACTCATGCAAAACAAAAAATAATAATCAATCTCAAGAACCATCGCCCAAATCACAATAAATAGGTGGTATAAACCAATGCGTTTGGACGGTTTTTGCACCAATTTGGGACGTATCTGGACGTACCTGCTTCTGCTGCACTTTTGGGTCCGAAAAATTAGCCAGATACACCAGGATACGTTCAGATACATTAAAAATACGTCTTTTTTTTCTTTCCTTTAGCCAAACAAAGTCTCTTTGTCTCATTTTTTCCCAAAATAAATGGTTTTGGGTGAAAGAAAAATGCACATGTTTCAATTTTTCTTTACAAAGGTGTGGATTAGAAAACGTTGAGCGTCCAAAGATGCCGCTGAAATTGACACTGTTCAAACTCCATCCACTCTGTTAAGTCACTCTTCCACTGAGCAAAAAAAATCTGGTCATTTTGAAAACGATAACATAGAAACATTCCAAACAACAAAGATTTATTTGAATGAAACAAACCTCTTGTGACATAATCATTGTTGTTGTTTGTGAAGTGCTGTGTTTCGATGTGCGACCAAAAGAAAGCACAAAACATGCCAGAACAAGTAGAAACACATAATTAGAAACCATGAGAAAATAAGTGGGGAATTAGCAAGTAAGTAGGGAAAAATAAAGAGATCTTAATTAGGAAAATACGAATAAACTTGGAAAATAAGAGGAAAAACCATGCGGGATATTTGAAAAATAGAAAAGTAACTAAGGAATACTAAGGACAGTAAGTGAAATCAAGTAGACAATAAGTAGAACTAAGTAGAAATTAGGTAGAATTTAAGTAGAAATAAGTAAACATACGAAACATAAGTAGAAATTAAATAAAAATAATTTCCGTGTATATAAGTACCATAAGTTCCTAAGTTTCTTATATTTTTCTATAAGTACGAACTGACCTTATTGAACTTTAAGTTCATGTTGTGGAACTTTAAGTGCAACTTCAACTTACTTTGTGTGCCTGAGGTAGCTTCAAGTTCCATCTATAGTCACGAATGTACACGACTAGTTGACAGACCGAGTGGCATTCAATGGGTGGATGGGAAAAGTAGCCGATACAATGCGCTTGGCAAACCCTCATTGCATACAGTTATGGCCATTTATTAGTTATAAAGTTAAAACTGGCTATTTCTATGTGACTATGCATACTAGCTGGGTAAATTATCATATGTCACTAACCTGAATAGTTCGGCCATTTGGGGATTATGTTCCTTACTAACCATGATTCCAGGGTTCGGAAGAACAGTGAGGTCGTTATAATTTACCCAGATACTATAAATGAATATAAAAATGGGGTTTTGTCAGTACTTATAGCTGGGATTTCGGGCCATCACTGTAGAAACATGCTGCAAACATGACCGATCAGACCATGGGCCGGAGCTATGGCAAGACAGCCACGAACGGCTCTGCTGAAAAAGGTAGTGGCGTACAAACATAAAGAGTGGCTGACTTATATGTGATAAATGTAATCAATGCACGATAAAACAGGTCGAACATTTTTGATGGTGAAATCTCTATTCCCGACAAATTTTGCCGGTTAAGTCGTCATGTTTGACAACTTGTTCATTGCCAAAATTTCTATGGTTGACCATGTTTGATATTATACAAACTCAATTTTTGTTGGTAAAATTTCGATGTTTCATGCTGAAACCCACATGTTTGAACCATTTTTGATGGTGAATCATGTTA